TCTCCCTCACTCGCTCTCTCTCTCTCTCTCTCTCTCTCTCTCTCTCTCTCTCTCTCTCTCTCTCTCTCTCTCTCTCGCTCACTCCTGCTCTCGAGATCTTCGTCTCCCGCTCCCCCTCCGTGCACCCCTCCCCCGCCCACCTCGATGCTGATTCCGCGGTGCGCATCCACTGTGGCAAGCAACCATGAGTCGCCACTCTTGCACCTCAATAAAATCTCAGCCCAAACTCCAACGCTGAACTTAGTCTTCGCCTCCTCCCGGCTCGCTGTACCCCATTACACATGCGGGCGGTGGGCATGGCATGGCATGGCATGGCATGGTGCAGGTGGTGAAGGAGAGCTTCAAGCTGTATCGTGCCATCAACGATGGCATCATCAACCTCGTTGACAAGGTGCGTCACCCCTGTACACCACTCCACACCACGCCATACCTTACCATACCACAATCACAAGACAACACTATGTGCACTCTGGCTGTGGTGTGGCAACAAGAGAGAGGGGGCGCATTAGAGTAACACGTGATTCAGTGGCAGGAGAAGCAGGGAAAGCCAGATGGAAAGAGACGTCGCCACTTTAGGGTGTTGAATATGATGAGGGATATATATCCTGTGCAACAAAGGGATGTAACCGATAGTTGCCAGATACGGTTTTAAAAGGCTGATCTGTAGTTGTGCCGAATATGTGCGGTCGAATTCAGGAATTGGCTGTTTAATTGCAGACTTTTAGTTCCATCCGTGTATCCAGCCTTGACAAATCTAAGGAAACTAACAGGCCCGTTCAGTGATGCAAGGAGAGGGGATATGCATGCACAGAGCGAGGCGTGGTTCAGTGCATGCACATGGGTACTATGGGAGTGAATGCTGAGCAGCATTCATGTCACGCACTCCCTGCTTCCACACCTGCGCCCTCACCTCACATGCATCACCATCGCTCCCCGCGCCATCAACACCTCCCCTCCCACTGCGCGTGTGTGTGCGCCCGTGCACTCTCCACTCCCCACTCGCAGTTCTTTGAGATGTCGCGAGTGGATGCCGCCAAGGCTCTTGCCATCTACAAGCGGGCAGGCGAGCAGGTGCGTGTGCATGTATGTGTGTGTGTGCATGTATGTGTGCGTGTGCATGTATGTGTGTTGTGTGTGAGTATGTATGTGGGTGTGGGCGTGCGGTCGTATGTGTATGCTTGTGGTGTGTATGCGTGCGTGCGAGTTCATGTGGGTTGACGTGAGGGAGGGAGTGTGAGGGAGGGTAGACGCTGTGAGTGATCCTCCACACTCTGCACACCGCTTGCCCGTTGCTTCTTGCTCCTTCCCTCCACTCACCGCTCATCACCCATGCCCACCACGCATGACCCATCCTCCAAATGTGCTCGCCCCCTCTCCTACCACCCACCCATTTCCCCCCTCCCACATGCCGCTCGGCTGTGCGAGCAGGCGGACCGCCTCTCATCGTTCTACGACATGTGCAAGGGCCTCGACCTCTCCAGAAGCTTCCAGTTCCCCACTCTCGACCAGGTGCCGCTGCCCGCCTGCCCTCTTCTCTTCTCTTCTCTCTTCTCTTCTTCCCATCACTGCGCATTGCGCGTCACTCGCTTGCTCTTACGCTTTTCCCCACCCACTGCCCAGCTTTTCTTCAAGAAAGCCCTTTCTGCCCTCTCCCTCTTGTGCTTGCCTTGCCCCGTCGTTACTACTCGCTTGCGCTGCTCACCACAATCAACCCCACACACCCCTCGCCCGCCCTCCTATTGTTCGTGCCGCGTCCTGTCATGCATCTGTAGCCCAGCCGTTCCCTCCCCACACCTCTCCACTCACCCTGCCTCCCATCTCGCACCCCATTCGCCCATTCCCCCTTGGTGCCGTTCCCCCTGTCCCTGTGCGTGCAGCCGCCACAGTCGTTCCTGACGACCATGGAGGAGTATGTGCGAGAGGCACCTCGCTCTGGAGGCATGCCCGCAGAGTCCCACGCGGTCAGTGCTGCGCCTTCCCTTCCCCCTTCTCCCCGCCCCTCCCTTCCGCCGTTCACCCTCCCATCCCTGATCCGCGTGTTTTTAGCACTTGCATTTGCTCCGTGCTGGTGGTGTGATGCTGTGACACCCTCCTGTTTCTCTCCTCACCGTGTGCTGCTCGCCCCTGTCATGTCTCTTCTCGTGTCCCACCCCTGCTGCCGCGTCTCTCTCCTCGTGCACCAGTCGCACTCAGAGGACGCGAGTCACAAGACACCCGGGACGGAGAGGAGGGAGAGGAGGGAGGCGAGGCGGAGGGAGGAGGAGGAGGAGGCACCGCCGCCCCCAGCACCTCCGGAACCAGAACCTGCACCTCCCCCACCTCCCCCTCCCCCTGCGCAAGACCTCCTAGTGGCGAGTCACCTGCATCTGCTCCCCCTGCCCCCCTCTCTGCTCCCCCTGCCTCCTCTCTGCTCCCCCTGCCTCCTCTCTGCCCCCCCTGCCTCCTCTCTGCTCCCCCTGCCTCCTCTCTGCTCCCCCTGCCTCCTCTCTGCCCCTCCTGCCCCCCTCTCTGCCCCTCCTGCCCCCCTCTCTGCTCCCCCTGCCTCCTCTCTGCCCCTCCTGCCCCCGTCTCTGGTCCCCCTGTCTCTTTCTCTGTTGAGTCCCGCATGCTGCTGCACTGTATGCCACCCGCGGCCCTCACGACAGCAAGGGTCGCTGCTCCTTGAGCAGCCTCTCCTCTCCCCTCCATCGCGCCACACTGCCCATCATGACTCCTCTCTCGTCACCCCTCGCTGTGCCCCCGTCGCCCCTCCCCATCAGGACGTGGCGGACGAGGTGGTGGCAGCGCCCCCCGATGCAGCAGCCATCGAGCAGCAGAACGCCCTCGCCCTCGCCATCGTGCCCGGAGGTAACCGCACATGCTCACTGCTCGCACACTCCCATTCTTGCCTTCCCACACGCTCGCACGCGCCCCTACCCCCCCCCCCCCCCGTCCCCCCCCCTTTTCCCCCCCTCTTGCACCTGTGCATGCTCTCGTTCTTCCCTGTCTGTGGGGGCGCTGAGGGGCGATGAAGGGCGATGAGGGGCAATGAGGGGCGCTGTATCTGTGCCTCACTGTTACCACATGATGGTTGCTCTCCCTGCTGCGCCTTGTGCTGCCATTCCTCTGTCATGGCTGCACGGAAAGAGCTTTCTACGGCAGAGGGGGTGAGGACGAGTGTGGTGGGCACAGGCTTCGCGCAATGAAGAGTGGAGGCAGGATTAGGTGGTGCAGGTGCACCGTGCATGCATGGTTGTGAGGCACGAATAGCTCGTGCTGCAGACTCATCCCCACTGGTTGTGACGCCACTGCTCCGTCCCAGCTGTCTTCCCCTCACTCGACTGTCTGTCCAACCGTTCCGTTTCTCTTGTGTATCTCCCTCCCCCTGTCGCCGCCCTGCTGGCAGACGGAGCCCCTGCGAGTGCGGCGCTGCATGATGGCAGCACGGGGTGGGAGCTCGCACTCGTCTCTGCACCCTCCTCCACTGCTCTCGCTGCTCCCAACTCCAACGCCAACTCCAATCTGGTACTCTCCCTGCCAAACCAATCCCCTCTTGCTCTCCTTCTTCTTCCCTGCCGCCTCTCACTCATCCGTGCCTCCCTTACGCATCGCCTTACCATCCCCCCCCCCCTTTCCCCCTTCCCCCTCCCTCCACACCACACCCTTCCCATGCAATTCCCCTCCGCGTGGCGGTGCGGTGCAGGCGGGGGGCTTTGACAAGCTGACACTGGACTCGCTGTACGAGGACGCCATCCGCCGCTCCACCAACTCCTACCAGAACTCCTACGCCACCTCCGGCCCCGCCGCACCCCCCTCCGCCATGCTCGCGCTGCCCGCGCCCCCCGGTGCCTTCCAGGCGTCGGGCCCCGCTGCGCCCGGCATGCAGGGCCCGCACGACCCCTTCTCTGCGTCGCGCCACGTGCCCCCGCCCACCAACGTGCAGCTCGCCACGCTCGCGCACCAGCAGCAGCAGGCGGGAGGGGGCTTTGGGCCGGGCGGAGGCATGCAGCACATGGGCGGGATGCCAGGACGGGGGTATCCTGGGAATGCAGGGCAAGGCTTTGGTGGCGGGTACTCGATGGGTGGTGGCCCAGGGATGGGTATGGGCATGCAGGGAGGCATGGGCATGCAGGGTGGTATGGGCATGGGGATGGGCATGGGCGGTCCTGGTGGGCCCCCGGTGAACCCCTTTGCCAACCCGTATGGCCCACCCACCGCATACGGGTCTGTGGGCATGGCCCCCCATGGTGCCCCTGCTGCTCCTGCCGCAGGGCCTGGAGGGTACCAGACCAATCCGTTCGGCAACCCCAGCCTGCTGTGAGGCGGCCATGGAGAGGGCTGGTTGCTTGTGGTGTGAGGGAGAAGGAGAATGAGGAAAGGAAGAGGTGGGAGGGTGAGGGCAGTGGCAGCTGTGTTGGGGGGAGTGCCTGGGTGCAGCACACGGGTGTAGTGTGGGTGATGCGTGGAGGAGGAGGTAGCCGCACTGCACTTGCACGGCCTCTGCATCTGTTGTCGTGATGAAATGAACAGGGTTGACAAGTTACTGTAGAATGTGTTGGGGGGTTCTGTAAGATTCTGTACCGTAGGTTGCATCGTGCCGGAGTTACGTATCAGTTGCCATTTCCGTATGTGCAAAGATGATTACTTAGCACACAGTGCTAGCGTGTGAATAGTGTTTACGGTAGCAATTTAAGGTCTGACCGACTTGGGACTATTGTATGGACGACACCAGGCTTGTAAGTTGTGAGCTGCCATGATCAGATTTCACAAATGTGCATCCCAAGAGAACATCTACCACCTCTCATCCAGTGGAACAGAGCACCAACATTCTCCTCCCTGTGAGCGTGGGGCACATGATTGAGTTGGATAATGTGCTGCAGTAGCAGCCATGACCACTGATTGTGCCAGAGGGCACCACTACACTAAACTGGAGATGGTTATCAACATCCACACAACTTACCAACAGATGGTAAGTTACTCTATGAACAAAAATCCACGAGCCACTCTTCCGGAAAAGCTCTTTACACCTGCTCGAGTTTCCACAGCTTATTCTTCTTGAACCGTGCCAACTTCTTACTCTTCCCCATCAGCCAGTTGTTATGCACAGTCACCACTCTCGCCTTTTCCTCCTCTTCCAATTGCCACCACGGCTCCTCCCGAGTCCCAGGCGGCATGTTACTATCCCCTCTGAAAAACAACCACCCAGGAGGAAAAAGCTTCTGCGGCAGCACTCCCACCAGCGGCGCCGGACTCGTTTTGATTACATCGCTTATAGCCACGCCGAGATAAAACTGGTCGTTTTCGTTGCCGCGGATTCGCCGCGCGCGAGCGATTTTCAGCGACCAGGCATCGAGGACCAGGTGCCCGCCTGGGGAGCTCCGGAGGAACACAAATCCGCCGCACAGCTTCGCGGTCTGCACATTCGCTGACGCTCGCGCCATGGGATACGTGCCCGTGGCGTTGAAATTGGCGGAATCCGGCAGCTCTCTCACGCCTACTACGTCGTATCCTCTCACGGGGAAAGCGTCTCCGTCGCTTCGGCTGTCGTGGATTGCTTGCGGGGAAGGGATAGCATGGACCAAGGGCAAAGGGTCCTTAACCCAGATAAAGTCCGAGTCGCAAATTAGGACGTTAAAGCCCATGTGGAGGAGCGTGCGGATGTACGCGACCCGGCGGTACATCATCTGCTTGAATCCAGCGGAAGCAAAGGCCAGACTGCTGCTGCTTCCGCTGCCGTTGCCTGTTCTGCTGTTGGTGCTGCTGCCACCAGTGCTGCTCACAGTACCCTCGCTTCCCCCACTGTCCGCCAGCAATCGCCTTGAGCCTCCTTGCGCTTTACCGTCCGCCAGTCCCTCAGCGCTAACTTCTCCCTCCCCCTGGTGCGCGCCCTCCCCTCCCCCATCGCCTAATCCCGCGGCACTCAATTCCGCAGCGCCTGCCTGCTCAATCTCGGGAACGTGCCACCGCAGCACCTGTCTCGGAAACTTCGTTGTCAGCAGTTGGAAGCTCTCGCTGTCTTCCGCGAACACGAGGAAGCGCCGCCCGTACCCCAGGTCGTCCGCGTACACGGCCCAGTTGAGCAGAAAGTCCGCGTACCCGATGTTTGTAACGAGTACCACCACCGTCCCGTTAACGGACACGTCGCTCGCCATTGCTTGTAACGAGTCACGAGATACATATCCCTCCTCGTCGAACTCAGGTCCCTGCTTGGCCTCACGGGAAACGTACATGTCCTCGCTATTAGCAGGTGCATGGTTCAGAATATCCTCGCCGGAGTCGGTAGCATTGATGTGAGTCCGTTCGACCGCCACTCGTACCTCAATCTCGCCGTTTCCGAAGCTGCTGCTGCCTGGTTGCGGGGCCTCCCAAGGCTCGCCATCAGCTTCGGCGGTATTGTCAAGCCTTGGTCCACCTGAAGCTTGGAAGGATATAGGAGAGAGGCTCGGCTGTGCGAGGGTGACGGCGAGAGCTGCGAGGAGGACTATGTTGATCGCGCATGACGCTACCGCAAGGGGAAACGCGACGGAACTACTACTATGAGTGAAATCAGAGCCCCCTTTCATCGATCCTTGGATCTTTGTGTGACTTTCTTACCGCTTCCTGATATTAAAGTCGTATCGTCAGAGTATGTATGGCAAGGCTATCTTGTACCAAGACCTGATATTCTGGGGAAGAACTCTGCTTGGTTGATAGCGCGAATTTTGTCATGTTTCGTTCTGAGTGGGTTTGAGTGGGCGCGAGCAGACGAATATGCGACCAATACCGAATTCATTTTCGAGCCTGAAACGGATTGCCCCTGTAACGTGTGACTGTTTGCACAACGTGGGACGCCGAGTCGCCGCTGTCGCCGCTCTCGCCATCAATTTCGCTTTCTCGATGGTACTAATTTTGAAAGTTGGGTTGGGGGTGTGTGTGTGTCTCGCATACACATTTTCGATCGGGACGTAACCACTCACCTTCTACAACCGAGTCGCAACAGTGGTTCAACTCCAATCCGCTGAGCGCAAAACACGCTCAAAAAACCTCACGTCTTGATAAGAACACGCTTCCTCCATTTCCAGAACTATACCTCAACCTATATTTAACTACCGTACTATAAAATTCAATCTCTAAGTGGGCCTTGGGGCCTCCTAGGTGTTATGGATCAACATTGAGTGGGCAAGGAACTCGTTGTGGTACTCCTCCTTCCTGCAGTGCTCCTTTGTTGGGGAACAGGAAACTGTAATACTATGACATCAAGATTTGGGCAACTTCCGTAAGGGGTGTTGTTGGAATTACCGAAACAGTATAACAGTGTCTCATAAATAGAATGCAACGGAATGGTTTGGGACTAGCAAGATGGGATACAAGTACTCAACCCTAAAAAGGGTTGTACTCCCTAGAGTGCTACTCACTGTAGCCTAAGAACCTATAATAACAATTGACACACCCCCGAAGGCTAAGTAAGGGGCATCAAAGCAAGCAGGGTGAACAAACGGTCACAAGACCAGTCAATACAAGAAGCAAGGCAAGCTCATGGTGGATCTCAATGACACAACACAAATTCCGAGCACAAGCAAGCGGCCACAAGGCCAGTTCAAGAGTTCACTAGGATATATATAGCAAAGCACAACAAGCAGAGCAAACATCAATTCTACAGCAACCGAGGGCCTACCTCAACAAGCCCCAACTGCACACAGAATCTGTGGTGGTCACCAGGCACCAAGGCCTTTGTGAAGACGTCGGTAGTGTTGGCCTCTGAGGCCACAAAGTCCAAGCGTGCCTGGCCGCGTCGCTGCAACTCTCGCAGGAGGAAGTACCTCACGTCAATATGCTTCACTCTGCTCTCCAGTCGAGGCTCTCGACACAGGAGGATCATGGCCTTGTTGTCAGCGTACAAGGTCGGTGCAGAGCGAGGCCGCTCACCAAGGTCGGCGAGCAAGAAGGTCAACCAGCGAAGCTCCTGTGCCGCCATGGCACCAGCGTATATCTCTGCCTCTGCACTGGACGTAGCCACAGACGACGACCGTGTAGACCTCCACGACTTAGCACCAGCACCCAGACTGAAGCAGTAACCCTGAGTCGAGCGCTGAGTCTCCACGTCGTCAGCGTAGGAAGAGTCGAAGTGACCGGTCAACACAACTGGCTGTGTCCCTCCAAGCACAAGCCCCATGCCTGATGTAGTCGCCAGGTACTTCGCCACCCTTACAGCAGCTGTCCAGTGAACTGGACGGTGTCTCCCAGTCGCAACAAAGCGAGAGAGGACGCTGAGGGGAAAGGCGAGGTCCGGCCGAGTACAAGTCATCAAGTACATGAGGCAGCCCACAAGCTCTGCGTAGGGGCCACTAGACTCAAAGGGCTTGTCGGGAAAAGGGCCAGTGAGTCGGTGGTCAACGGCAAGAGGAGTGGGCTGTGTGGTGGAGAACTGAAACCCGAACCGCCGAAGGATCTGCTGCACCATGTGTGACTGAGTCAGTGTGATGGTGCGAGCGGCTCTGTCCCTGGTGATATGCAGGCCAAGGTAGCGCTGCAGTTCACCGAGGTCAGTGCACTTGTGTCTCTTCTGTAGTTCTGACTTCACCTCAACCAGAGCTGCCCTGTCTGCTGTAGCAAAGACCAAGTCGTCGACGTACACTAGTATAAAGAAAGGAGTGGAACCAGTGCGAACAAACAACGACAGGTCGGCAGAGGAAGGACGAAACCCAAGGTCACGAAGCGTGGAGCGAAGAGTGTCGTGCCACTCACGGGGCGACTGGCGGAGACCGTAGACTGTCCGCCTCAGGCTCCACTGGGTCCCAGGTGGGAAGGTGTCAATGAAGCCAGGAGGACGGCGCAGCCAGATGTAATCGTGTAGGCGGCCCTGGAGAAACGCAGTGGAGAAGTCAAGGGAGTGCAGCTCGTAGTCACGCTGTGCTGCTACGTGCAGTAACACCCGAAGAGTAGTCATCTTCGAGGTCGAGGCGAAGGTCTGGAAGAAGTCAACTCCCTCACGCTGACTGAAACCCCTAGCCACGTAGCGCACCTTGAACACAGGCGGTGAACCAGGCGGCCGCTTCACCTTGAAGAGCCACATGCCATCGACAACGTTCGCCCTAGGAGGGGGAACTGCGTCGACGTACGTGCCTGTGGATCTCCAAGACGCTAACTCTGCATCCATAGCCGCTTTCCACTGAGAGGCCCACTTCCCTGACACTGCCTCACGGTACGTGCGAGGTGTCGGTATGTCAAGGGCGTCGGGGTTTCCCTCAAGGGAAAGCGGCATGGCGCAGAGAGAGGGGGAAGCGGCTGCTAAGAACTCCAGCTCAAACTGCCTGTCCTCTAGGACGTCACAGCCAAGGGCAGACTCACCCCCGACGGACAGAGGACGGGGAGGTGGAGCAGCCACCACAGGCATGGCGTAGTCAAGACGGTGGGTGGAAGCAAAGTCAGCGACATCGGCAGTAAGAGCCGAGACACACGACGGAGAGGCACGAGGGTCGGTGACAAGATAGGCGAGAACACGAGAGACAACAGGGCGAGCATCACGGTAGTAGTCAGTGATAGGGTGAGAGGAAACGGTGAGAGACGACTCAGGAGGTGAGGGGAGAACAGACACAGGCGGAGAACAACGAGGAGGGGAACGAAACAAGACAGTGCGCAGGTTGGCAAGAGGAGACGAGGGCCGAGCACGCCGAGGACAACGACTGGTCCAGTCGTGCGGGACAACAGGAGGAGGCGACCGTGACTGAGGAGGAGAGAAAACAGCCGGAGTCGAGTCCGGAGGAGGAAACGTAGGACCGTACGCAGTAGGTGACTGGGAGTGGACAGGAGGAGAGGATGGAAGACCAAGGGCCTGAAGGCCACTCACTGGAGGGAACAGCTGCTGCAAAAGTGGCGGCTGCGGCGTCTGCTGCTGCTGCTCCTACTGCTGCTGCTGCTGCTGCTGCTGCTGCTGCTGCTGCTGCTGCTGCTGCTGCTGCTACTGCTGCTGCTGCTGCTGCTGCTGCTGCTGCTGCTGGTCCAACTGCTGCAGCTACTGCCTCTCCTACTCCACCCGCTCCTGCTCCTCACGCTCAAGCCGGTGAAGAGCCTGGAAACGTGTGTCGTAGCGGTGAGGAGGCGTAGTAGGCGTGCCTCCAGCTCCTGTCTCCTCAGTACCAGCTCCTACAGTGCCAGCACCTCCTGAACCAGCACCCCCAGAACTAGCGCCACCTGCGCCAGCACCTCCAGGTCCAGCACCCCCAGAACTAGCGCCTTCTGCGCCAGCACCTCCAGCTCCAGCACCCCCAGAACTAGCGCCACCTGCGCCAGCACCTCCAGAACTAGCACCTCCAGTGCCAGAACCTCCAGCTCCAGCACCCCCAGAGCTAGCGCCACCTGCGCCAGCACTTCCAGCTCCAGCACCCCTCGAACAAGCACCCCCAGGCCGAGTACCGCCAGTGGCTGCACCTCTAGCTCCAACACCAACCGAGTCCACAGTAACCTGTCGCGGAAAAGGCTGCTAAGGGGACTGTGAGGAGGACTGCGGGGAGGGAGACGCTACCTGACGCGCGACCGAGGGTAGAGGGGTAGCATGAGACACACCTGACGGGGCAGGACCAAGGGGGGGTGGGGGGACCGGAGGAGCGGGAGCAGGGGGAAGAGAGGGTGCAAGGAAGAGGAGGGGAGGGGGAACCGGGAGACCTCAACAGGGGTACCGGGTGTAGTAGGACACGGACTCGTCAAACCGGACGTCACGAGAGTCGAGAAACTGGTGGAGGGGCGGGTGGTAAAAGGAGAAGTAGGGAGAGCCCACCGGGAAAGCAAGGAAGACACAGGGGATGGCACGAGCCGAGAGCTTGTCCGCAGAGGTGTCACGGACAAGCGCAAGGCAGCCCCAGACGTGAAAGTCCGACCCAACACCAGGGGACGCAGTCCAAAGGCTGGTCGGTGAAACCTCTGGCCGCGAGACATGCGGCTGGAGGTTTAGCTGGTGCGCGGCGTAGCGCAGCGCGTAGGGCCACCGAAAATGGGGCGCACGGGCATGGATCATGGACGTGCGGGCGATGTCCATGACCAAGCCAATGCGGCGCTCAACAACCCCATTCTGCTGTGGGGACTCCGGCAACGTCCAGTACTATCTCATGCCCTGCTCGTCGCAGAACCCGGCAAGGACGCCGAAGCGAAACTCACCCCCACGGTCGGAGTGGAGACA